CACGGCCTCCGACGCCCCGTGCCCCGAGCGGGGCGCGCGGAACATGGTTTCCTTGCGTGCCCTGTTGCGCGCACCGTTCGCGGATCACGTGCTCCTTCTGGTCCTGGCCACGGGGGCACGCGCCTTGTGCCGCGCTCCTGCAGGCGGAACCAGCGGGAGTTGTTTTGTGCCAGCGCGGCATTGGTGCAAGAGCTGGCAGTTCCCGCGCTGCCAGGTTGGGATTGTGCGGTGGGCCCGTAGAAGTCAAAAAATCTAAGGAATTGCCTCCTGAGGTTCCCTCTCTGGCTGCTCGAAGCTCTTTCCGAGAGCGTGCCAAGCCAGCCTTCACAGCAGAATCGTCGGCACCTTCCGTCGGCCCCTGCCGGTGCGCCACCTGCGTCAGCGCGGCGCCTGCGGCCGCGCTGTATTTCGGCAGCCAGACGGCGCTGCATCACAGAAGGACTTCGCGCGTGATAGTTTCGAGAGAGAACAGAATCGAGCCCCCCCTCCCCAGACCCCCGCCGTCATGATTTTCCCATGGCCCGACCTTCAGAGGAGATCCGGACGCCGTTTCCTGGGACTGGCTTCTCATCCTGGGTTGAACTTTGACGGCCCCGAGGCCCGGTGAGGGCCTCCAGGCTCTGAAAATAGCGATAACCCCCCCGTCGTGATTTCTTCACAGCGCGAAGTGATGGGCTTGTCTTCCACAACCAGCACCACCATAAGTAGGAGGGGGGGGCGTTTTCCTCCTCCTCTTCCTCCTCCTTCTCCTCCTCTTCGTCGTCGTCCTCCTCCTCCTCCTCCTCCTCCTCCTTCTCCTCCTCCTCCTCCTCTTTCTCCTCCTCCCCCTCCTCCTCCTCCTCCTCATCCTCCTCCACCTCCTTCCCCCCTCCAACTTATGGTGGTGGTGGTGGAAAACAAACCCATCACGAGGGGGTCTGGGTCTAGCTCCGCTACCGGCTCAGGCGGAGGGAGCGCTCGCGCGCCGCGGGCGGCCCCCCACCCGCATGCCCCGCGCGGCGCCCGGCGCGCTGCCGGCACTGCTGGCCACCGCGCCCGCGCCCTGGGGTGCCGTCCGGGTGACCGCGCTCGGCCGCGTCAGGCACCTGTGGTTCGTAGGCCCGCGTCGGACGAAAAAGGTCGTACGGTTGGGGCGCTCGTTGAGGAATGTGCCTTGGAGGCTGCAGACCCTGGAGGGTCCCTTATCTGATGAGGGCGGCAGTGATATCCATGGCAGATCCACGATTGGAGTCCCCCCGGTCTGTAGACCCTGGGTTCCTTGTCGAAGGATTCCTTGTTCAATTGTGTGCCGATCGGCGTGGGCCCTCGCACCGCCTTTTCCCCCCCCCCCATTAAAAAGATGTTGGCTGTTTTTGGTGCATGTTTCGAGTCGGTGGGGTCTCCCCCATAAGACGCATTGTTGCAAACACTCGTTCTAAGCAGAGGTCCGAAACCAGACCCCTCCTTCCCCCGCGCGTGCAGGTTCCCTTTTTGTCCTCCTGTTCCGCCTTTCCTTCGCTGCGTACCCCCTCCTCGTCTTCTCCTCTCCCCGATTGGTGTTGCGGTTCGCTGCCGGCGCTGTGTTCAATGCTGTGACGCGAGGAATCGCCACGCTGATTTTAGTTACGATGCCTCTACAGCATGTTGCGTCTGACGAAAGGACTTGGCATCGTTCGGACGTGTGTGTTTTTTTCTTGTCTCGGCGAGGAGCATCCTGGATCATCCAGAGCACAGCACGCACGCGCCCGAAAAATGCACGGGGAATGGACGTCCGAGCGATGGCGAGAGGAGACTGTTTCCGTTGGGATGGAGCGGGGATTCTCCAGCAGCGGCCGATCGGAGGCGCCTTATCTCAGGAGGGGAAAAAACACACAGACACAATTATTCGTCGACTCCCAGGGAAATATTGGAAAATATGGGAATTGGGCGGGAAGACAAAAACACAGAAAATATGGGAAAATATAGGGAATCATATTATTTGTGTGTATTTATTTGTGTGTCCTTGGGCCCCTTGATTATCAAACGCAACATTCGCACCAGCGCACGGTTGGCCACAGGAAGTGGCAGGCGCAGCAGCAGCCGCCGAGGCGACAGGACCAACTTCTGGCAAGCACCACGGCGCCACGCCGCCCCGTCGAGGGCAGAAGCGGCCAGAGCAAACGCGGACGGTTTGTGTGGGTATCGTTCGAAGCACAGTAGTGTTAAGTCGGGCCTGTCCCTCTACAGGGGGAGTATCCCAAAATAGCTCAACGATAGTATGGGGACGATCGTTTGACTATTTCTGGAATTTACGATCTGTTTTGACAATTTTCTGGTTTCGTCCAAAATCCACCTGAAGGGGGACACGCCCGACCTAACAGTAATGTTAGATGTTGGAGGTCGGGGGGTGAGATCGCAGTGGAACGGAGACCCCCAACCGGGAAATCGTTCCGTTTCGTTCGTGTCGTGCGTGCGGGCGAGGCGAAGCTGCGTGGGCGCGCGGGAGGAATGGACCCGCCGTTGCTAGGGCGAAAACAAAACCAATGATTCTCCCCCTCCCGCCCGTCCGTCGGTGGCTCGCGGTGTCCCGCGGTGTCCCGTGGTGTTCCGTTGTGTCCCGTGGTGTCCGCCGTTGCTCGGGCGAAGTCAACACAAATGACTTTCTCCGGCCCACCCGTCCGTCAGTGGCTCGCGGTGTCCCGCGGAGTCACGTGGTGTCCCGTGGTGTCCCGTTGAGTGAGATCGATACTGAGATCGATACTGAGATCGATACTGAGATCGATGTGGTGCCCCGAGGTGTCCCGTGGTGTCCCAACAAGGGGGATCGCTAGTAAGATCGATAGTGTAATCGACAGGTGTCCCGTGGTGACACGTGGTGGCCCGTGGTGTCCCGTTGAGTGAGATCGATAGTGAGATCGAAAGGCAGATTGAAGCGAGATCGACAAGTGTCCTGTGGTGTCCCGAGGTGTCCCGTGATGTCCCGTGGAGTCCCAAAAAGTGAGATCGATAGTGATATCGATAATCAGTGAGATCAACAGGTGTCCCGTGGTGTCCCGTGGTGTCCCGTTGAGTGAGATCGATAGTGGCATCGATAGTGAGATCGATAGTGGGATCGATGTGGTGTCCCGAGGGGTCCCGTGGTGTCCCGTGGTGTCCCGTGGTGTCCCGTTGAGTGAGATCGATAGTGAGACCGATAGTGAGATCGAGAGGTGTCCCGCGGTGTCTCGTGGTGTCTCGTGGTGGCCCGCGGTGTCCCGTGGTGTCCCGTTGAGTGGGATCGATAGTGAGATTGATAGTGAGATCGACAAGTGTCCCGTGGTGTCCTATGGTCCATGGTGTCCCGTTGAGTGAGATCGATAGTGAGATCGATCGTGAGATCGATGTGGTGTCCCGAGGTGTCCCGGGGTGTCCCTTGGTGTCCCGTGGTGTCCTATGGTGTCCCGTTGAGTGGGATCGATAGTGAGATCGGTAGTGAGACCGATAGTGAGATCGAGAGGTTTCCCGCGGTGTCCCGTGGTGGCACGTGGTGGCCCATGGTGTCCCGTGGTGTCCCGTGGTGTCCCGTTGGGTGGGATCGATAGTGAGATCGATAGTGAGATCGATCAGTGTCCCATGGTGTCCCGTGGTGTCCTGTTGAGTGAGATCGGTAGTGAGATCGATCGTGAGATCGATGTGGTGTCCCGCGATGTCCCGTGGTGTCCCGTGGTGTCCCGTGGTGTCCCGTGGTGTCCCGTTGAGTGGGATCGATAGTGAGATCGATAGTGAGATCGATCAGTGTCCCGTGGTGTCCCGTGGTGTCCCGTTGAGTGAGATCGATAGTGAGATCGATCGAGTCAGATGGTGGTTCCCCCCCCTCCCCCCCCCCCAAACAACCTCCTTATCACCCGAAGGGTGGTCGTATAGGTATCCTCTGGCGTGTGGCGGTCGCTACCCGGGCCACACCCACCACATCCCGGGCAACGACAGCGATCGTGCGGGGGGGGGGGGCGCGGGGGCCCACCCCCCACATATGATGCAGGTGCTCGCGAGCAGACTGTGGCGACCGCAGCGCACCCCCGACGTGCCCCACCCCAGCTAAGCGTTACCGTTACCCCCAGGGCCCGACCCCCCCCCCCCCTCAGTTCGGATCACAGCGGGGGGTGGTTCATGTACAGGGGGATTTGAAGCAGATGCTAAGATGGCTTCTGCCTGGCCTAACCTATCTTACTCGTGGGTGACAGATGCTCTAAGTGGCTGAGGGAAACGGGTCCTGAGGTTGTTCCCCGCTTCTGGCCTCCCGGCACCCTCCAGGACCGTCCAGAAACAATTCAATACGACAACCTAGTCCGGGGGACGGCCCTGTGGTCCCGGAGCCGTTTGCCTCACTTGAACCACCGCGGGGGATGCTAAATGGATAGGGGAATTAGAAGTGGATGCTGAGGTGGCTGCTATCTGGCCTAAGCCTAACGCCTAACCTAGCTTACACGTGGGTGGCAAATGCCCTAAGTGGCTTGGGTGGGTTCGCTAACTCCACGAAGTTGGCGGAGCCCACTTACTTAGTCCAGATCCGAACCCCCTATAAGCCACGCAGGGCGCTGCGAGCTCACTTACGAGCTAGGTTCGGATCGGAAAGGTAAAGGCCAGCTTGGCATCCATTTCTCGCCTCCGCATCCACTCTGCAACCTCGCAGGTGCCCAAGTAGGAAAACGGGGTACGGAATCAGCTCCGTGCGGCTGGTTTCGCGGCCCCGCCGTCGGGCGCTCTCCTTGGTACACTGGCGCGTCCGGCGCCAGGAGGCGCTGGGAAGATCAGCGACGTGAGCTGCTCGGCGACCCCACCCTTTGCCGTCGGGCAGATTTTGGACGGGAGGAAATTTCAGAAATAGTCAAACAATTGTTTGGGGACGATTTTTATATCAGTGTTTGCCTATTTTACTACATGTTTGATTACGTTTAATTTTCCAACCAAAATCAGACTGTAGGAGGACATGCTCGACCTAAGGACAGGGGTAAGTCGCTCAAAAACGCGTTCTGGAACGCTTTTTCTGAGCCTTCTGGAGCCCTCTGCGAAGGCCGCGGCGTCCGATGCATCCTCAGAACCGCGGGATCTCTGAGATCCCCGAGTGGTCCAGGTAGGGTTCTGTCCTCGTCCTGCCTTCGTTCGGGGGCCCCCAAACAGGGTGGTGACCACAGCGTGTGGTGAGTCGGTGGGGAGTCGGGGTCACGGCACGGTTTTGGGACCCGGGTCGTTTTCCGAGGATGTCTCGGGCGACTGGGGCCTCCGAGGTCCCAAAACCGTGCGTTGACGGACCGTGCGGTGAGATCTTGGGGGATTCCGAGGTCACCGCGCGGTCTGTCCTCGCACTGCTCAGGGTATCAAAAAACTCGTCTTGAGTATGCCCTGTCCTCCGACCCCACAGACGCGCGCGGGGATGCGACCCTGCAGACCCAGGCGGTCTGCACCGGCCTCGGGGGCGCCTGCCGCATCGACGCGCCGGCCTCGCTGCGCCGCACGCCCTACCTGCGGTGCATGGCCCGCCGGCTCGCCTCGGCGGGGCGCGTGCTGGTGCTGGGGCTGGGCGGGGGCGTGCTGCCGGCCGCGCTGCTGGACGCCGGGGCGCGCCAGGTGGTCGTGCTCGAGCGGCCGCTCGTCAGGGTGAGGCAAGCTCAGGGGAGGAGAAGGTACCCATGCCTCTGCTCGTCCCCCGTTTTCCCCTCTCTGGGCCTCTTGGGAGCTCCTCGTTGCCACCGCTGGACTTGCCTCGAAATTCTGGTCAGAACGCACCCCGGGAGACGTCCGGGGAGTAGCGGTGTCGGTACCTTTCGGCCTCCCCGCAAGCGGGTCCTGAGGGAAACGGGTCATGAGCTTAGCTGTAAATCGGGCTTGTCCCTCTACAGGGGAATATTCGAAAACGGTCGACAAAAACAATCCGGGGACGAATGTTCATGCGTTTTGACTATTCAGGGGCACTGGTTTTGTATTTTTTATTTTTCAACCCCAAAATCGCCTATAGGGGGACATGCCCGACCCAAGCTTGGCTGCCTCGATACCCTCGTTCGTGAAACGCAGCACGGGCCGTGCTCAAGACGTCCGTGTCAGCACGCCGCGTGTTGGCTCGGCGCGTGTCGGCCCGCGTTTTGGCGAACGCATCGCGTCAGACCTGCGGTTGGAGTCCACGTGTGGAGCACTGCGTCGATCCTCCAAACCCCTCATTGATCGACCCTCGCCAAAGAAACGGACCCCCCTCCCAATGCGACCTAATATTCCGGACCCCCTTCTTCGACGGGGCGCCTGGATAAACCGGACCCCCTAAGCTCCAATCCAAAGGGATCGCCCTAATAAACTGGACCCCCCCAGTTACAATAACGGCGCTTTAAACAACTGGACCCGGGGGTCGATTAATAAGGGATTTGGAGTACGCTACGTGTTGCGTGATGCGTATCGGGGCAGCTCAAAGGTTTTTCGCCGCTTCTGGCCTCCTGGGGCCCTTCACAGGCCCCTGGACCGTCAAAAACGGTTCGGGACGAAAACTTGGGACGGCCCCTGGGGTCCCGGAGCTGCTTCCCTCACTTGGATCACCGCGGAGGTTCTGAATGGATAGGGGGATTCGCAGTGAATGCTAAGGTGGCTTCCATCTGGCCGGATCCAGCTTATACGTGGGTGACACGGGCCCTAAGTTGCTTTGGTGGGTTCTCTACCTCCGCAAAGCCCGCGGAGTCCGTTTAATTAGCCGGATCCTTAACCTGCAAGCCACGCAGGGCGCTTCTAGCCAATTCAATTATGAGCTAGAATGTAAGGCACCTTGGCATCCTCTTCTAGTTTCCCCATCCACTTAACACCCGCTCGGTGATCCAAACAGGACCTGTTTCCTTCATGCCAACAGGTGGTCGTCCTCGAGCGGTCGCGGGAAGTTCTCGACTTTGCGCGCGTCCACTTTGGCGCTGGCGCGTACGGCGATAGGCTCCAGCTGCGCTGCGCCGATGCGCGCGGCCTGGCCGCCGCCGGGGCCCTTGGCGGCGAGCGCGGCTTCGACGGCTGCGCGATCGACCTCTGGAAGGGCCACTCCCAGACTTGGGTTCCCTTGGATTTTTTCGAAGACGCCACCACTCTAATTTCGTTTAATCATACCCAGAACGACCGTGCGTACTCAAAACGACCACTTTGATCTTGTTCATGCATGCTCAAAAGCATTACTGTGAAACCCTTGATAGTCTTTTGGGAGGCAAGCTTCCTGGGAGGGTCATTGAAGTCTTGCGGGAATCCAAAAGTCCGATGGGGGGGCCAACAGTCTGGAGGGGACCAATAATCTGGGCAAGGGAGCTTGCAGTCCCGGGGTATCTGTCCGGGGGGGATGGGGGGGGGTGCAATCGGGTGCGTGGAGCCTGCAGAAACTTTCCACACGCGCACGCGCACGCACGAACGCACGCGCACGCGCGTGTGGAGGAAACGCCGTGGGGAACGCCGTGCATGGGGCTGGGGCTTCTATAGGGGGACATGCAGTCCAGCGGGGGTTCCATAGTCTGGGGGAGGGTACCGATAGTCTAATCGGGGGACCAAGAGTCCAGGGGCAGGGACCGCTAGTCTGGGGGGGGGGCCATGTCTGCGGGGGTGCCAGTACTCCGGGGACCCCAAAACTCTTGAGGGCTTCCACGTCCACGTCTTGCGCCCGCTCAGCGGCCCCGCACGCCCGCCTCGGGCACGCAGGCCCAAAACTGGCGAGTCGTAAGAGGTCCAACGGGGGCCCAATCCCAGACGTTGCCCGACTTCTTGCTCGACCCCGGCTTCCACGGCGCCCTGCGTTCTGCGCTCGCGCCTGGCGCGCGCGTGGTGCAGAACGCCCTGGCGCACAGCGGCGGTGTGGTGCCCGCGGGCCGCCGCGCCTTGGCTGCGCGGGCTTGCGGCGCCGCCTCCCCCGGCATGGCGCCCTGCCTCGCCTGGAGGCGAAACGCTGCGCCACAGGGCCCGCTATGGCCCGCGGCCTTCCCGCGGCGCAGCGAGGCCGGTCGGCAGCTGGAGGCGCTGGCCGCTGCGTTCCGGCAGGCGTACGGCTCGGCCGTGGTGCACCGGCCCTGCCCTTGGATGCCGAGCAGGGTCGTGGAGGCGGAGGCCTGACCTGATCCCGCGCAAGGGTCCGCGCACGAGCCCGTCCGTGGCCGAGCTGGCGGGCACCCGTGTCGGCGAGCGGGCGCGCCTCTGCGGCTCAGGGTGCTCGGAGTACTCGCGGGTGCGCGGAGCTCGTTCGCAGAAGTCCCCGCAGCTGCCCTTACCGAGCGCGCTTGCACTACTCGCAAAAATTGCCTGCTCGCAAACGTCCGAAAAGCATAGGCTTGCTTCAAGGAGATTTATCGTAGATCTCCCGCGGTGGATCCGGGCCATTTGCGAGTAGTTACTGTGCAAGTAGTGGAACGTGCTCGTCCACACCCCTTCCTTTTGACACTCCACCCGTTCGTCGGCGCTGGCTCGTCTCTCAGGATTTCTACTAACTCTTATCCCGCTGAAGGTGCCTGTTTGTTTTGTCTGAGTGGGGAATGTCTGCTCACGCGAACACATGTCCTATCGCACACGTATTTGGCGGCTTGGGGCGAGCCAGCGTCGGTGTGTTCGTACCCTTGTTCTCGTGTTTCTTCTTATTATTATTCCTGCTATTCTGTTCTTCTCCAGTATCTCCTTCCTCTGGCGGGAGGGGGGAGGAAACAGAGGAAACCGTACTGTTCGTTATCTTTCGACGTCCATACAAGCGGGAGACCACACGGGAGACCATCCGGCAACCGACTCCAGGACGACAGCGCTCGCACCCCCGCCGGAAGACCACACGGGGAACCATCGAGTCACCGATGTTGTTTGGCCCGCAACGGCCCCCCCAGCCCTTCTTGTGAGACGGATGCACACCTGCAAGACGAGCTGCTTCGGGAGAAGTGTTTGGAGCAGAGGGTCCTCCCCCCCGCGCGGCCGCCCTCGTCTTTGTTCATTCCTCTTGCTCGCCGGACTATTCGACTTTCGCTTGCCCCGATTCGCCACGCGCTGGAGCGGACTGCCTCTGCCGCGCCGCCGACGGACAAAGTTTGGAGCAGAGGAGCTTGGCAGCGACGTCAGCAGAGGCTTCGCGCCCCGCCCCGAATGTCAGCGAGCTCGCTCGACTGCGACCCTGCCGTCGCATCACGCTGGCGCGCACCAGCCTGGCGCGCAGGGCGGGTGGTGTGTGTGTGTGTGTGTGTGTGTGTGTGTGTGTGTGTGTGTGTGTGTGTGTGTGTGTGTGTGTGTGTGTGTGTGTGTGTGTGTGTGTGTGATTCACAAGGATCGATACCGCACTGCATGCCATCCCAGGAGCGTCGTGACGATACTGACGGACCAGCCCGAGCGTGGCCGACACGACGTTCGCGCTCGACGTGCGGGGCCTGCACGGCCATTCCAGTGGGCCTGGTCCGGGGCAGGGACCCGGTCGGCCTGGGCGTCCCGGGGCCTTGTCGGAAGCCTCTGCGTGTGAGAGCACGGCGGTGTGGGGCTCGGCTCCAACAGGGGCCGCCAGGATGGCCGCTGGACGGGCACTACGGAGGCTTGCCGCGCAAGACTTCCATACGGTAGGACATTCTCATCCAGAGAACTGCCATGATACGGTATCAGTGCACGGTTCAGGAGGTGTGAGGCCGATAACCATGCTGCCACGTGTGGGCACCAGCCGAGCTCGCGAGATGTAGATATTGTGCCGCTCGTGTTTCCCGATTGAGATGGCGACGCAGAGTTCGCAGATACCTTATCCGCCGTGTTCGTGTTCTGGAGCATCTTTCTCAGCCGAGTGGAACCACGAGCAGTCCGAGGCCTACATGGGGCAAGATCCGCGCCGATTGCCACCGTGCAAGCGTCTGTCTGCGACCTCGTGCCAAGCATCTGGATTTCTCAGATCGAGATCCTGCACCACTTGCAGGGACGAGCCCAACACCGTTATCACCGTACCCTTGTCCACAGGCAAGCCTACCATGAGCTGGGGATCGTAGATTTCGATGAAGTCCTCGGCAGCCTTGTACCATGTGCGCGGCACTGGCGTACTTCTGACACGTGGCGTTCACAGCATGATCATTGATGTACAAACCGAGGCTGACGTCCTGCTTGCTGGCAGCGAAAACGTCGACGGCGGCAGTCACGTAGGCTTTCTCGAAATCGTGTGTGAAGATGTCCACCTGTGGGGCCCTTCACGGCCATCGAGCTTCTGGGCAGTAGCAGTGAGCACGTTCTGCAGATGGGCGACGTCACGATCTGGGGTCACGTTTCGGGTGGGGTCCTCGGCCGCGTGCCAAAGTCTTCCCAACCGCAGAAGCCCCCGTCCCACAATTCAAACGAACGGCCTGGACGAGAAGTGGCCCGTCTTTCTTTCTACGAGTGGCGTGATGCATGCGACGGGCCAAGCTGCTTGACGCGGATCGCTTCCACTCAAGACACGACGCGTCTCGTATGTTTGCGAGCTCACCGTGGTATATACCGCCTCTTTTGCGGGGGGCACCACTGATATTTCGTGGACCAGGAGGCTTGAAGGGCACACAAAAAGGCAAGCGATCGACCGAGCCGGAAACAGATACCCTTGCCAGTATCAGGGGCGCGCACGGGTTCCTAATGGCTCCTTGGGCCTCTCGGCCACATCCCAGGGATTATTCTCTCATGCCGAACCGCGTTTGTTCGATTGTGCCAGAAACCGAAAATTACCTCCAGAGCCCAAAATTGAGAGAAACCAGCAGTGTCGACTTCGTTCTCCGCCGCAACACAGTTCTACATACAGACACCCTCAAGTGGATTGTTCATGTGCCTCAGGGGAGGGTGGCGGTGTATCAAGCACATCTGAGTGCCAGCGTCTTTGTACACCTCCGTCGTCCCTGAAGGTACGTGCAAAAGTTCGAGTTCGTTGGAGGGTGTCTGTGTATCTGTTTTCGTGAAGTATGTTCGTACCAGGCGTCCCAGGCCACCAACGCCACCCCACCACCCCGCAGACGCTGGCGAGGCGTGGCCCCGAGACTTCCCCGAACCCTTGCCGCGATTTTTGACGCCCACGGGACTGAACATTGGAAAGAGCGCGTTCTGTGGTCGCTTGGAGGGGGGGGAGGGGTTGGAACCGGCCCCCCCCCCCTCTGGATGGACGGGGCGGGGGTTTCGACCCCCCCCCCTCCCGTGACGGAGGGGAGGGGGTTCAACACCCCCCCCTCCCGTGACGGGAGGGGTTTCAAACCCCCTCCCCCCTTGCTTCCCCTTTCCTCGGGCCGGCGCTTGCGTCGGCTGCGGCTGGCGACGGCGGCGGGGGGGACGACGATTTTCATTTCTGGGCCGGCGCCGGCCGGCGCCTGCGGCGGCGGGCGGCGGTGGCGGGGAGCGTCGACAAGGACGGTGGTTGGTGGTGGTGGTGGTGGTGGTGGTGGTGGTGGTGGTGGTGGTGTTGGTGGTGGTAGCGGTGGTGGTGGTTGTGGAGGTGGTGGTGTGGTGTTTGTTATGGTGGTGGTGGTGGTTGTGGCGGTAGGTGGTGGTGGTAGTGGTGGTGGTGGTTTGGTGGCGGTTGGTGGTGGTTTGGTTTGTGGTGGTGGTGGTGGTGGTGGTGGTGGTGGTGGTGGTGGGTTGTGGTGGAGGTGGTGGTGGTTTGGTGGTGTTGTGGTGGCGGTTTGTGGTGGTGGTGGTGGTGGTGGGTTGTGGTTGTGGCGGTGGTTTGTGGAGGTTGGTTGTGGTGGTGGTGGCGGCGGTAGTGGTGGTGGTGTGGTGGTTTGTTGTGGTGGTGGTGGGTTGTGCTGCTGGTAGTGGTGGTGGTTGTGGCGGTGGTGGTGGTGGTGTGGTAGCTTGTGTTGGTGGTGGTGGTAGTGGTGGTAGTGGTGGTGGGTTTTTGTGGTGGTGGTGATGATGGTGAGTTGTAGTGATGGTGGTGGTTGTGGTGGTGTGGTGGTGGTTTGTGGTGGTGGTGGTGTTGGTGGGTTGTGGTGGTGGCGGTGGTTTGTGCACGTTTGTGGTGGTGGTGGTGGTGGCGGTGGTGGTGATGGTGATGGTGTGGTGGTTTGTGGTGGTAGCGGTGGGTTGTGCTGCTGGTAGTGGTTGTGGCGGTGGTGGTGGTGGTGATGTGGTAGATTGTGGTGGTGGTGGTAGTGGTGGTGGGTTTTTGTGGTGGTGGTGGTGATGGTGAGTTGTGGTGGTGGTTGTGGTGGTGGTTTGTGGTGGTGGTGGTCGTTGTGTGGTGCTGTTGGTGGTGATGGTGGTGGTTGTGGTGGTGGGTTGAGGCGGTGGTGGTGGTAGTGGTGGTGGTGGTAGTGGTGGTAAGCGTCGCATGCGTCCCCGCCGTCGCCAGCGCCGGCGCTGCTGGCTGGCGCCAGCGCCGGCGCTGGCGCAAGGGGGGGGCCCGGGAGGTTGGAACCCCCCCCCCCGGGCGCCAAAGGGTGGGGGGGGGTTGAACCCACCCCGTCGGCTGCCTCTGGTCATCGTCCGTCGCTGCGTCCCCGCCGTGGGCGCTGCTGGCGGCCGCCAGCGCCGGCGCCGGCGCAGGCGCCGAGGGGGGGGGGTTGAAACCCCACCCCTCCTTGGGAGGGGGGGGGGAGGGGTTTGACCCTCCCCCGCCTGGGAGAAGGGGGCTGGGGGGTCGGAAAGGGGGGGTTGGGGGGGAGGGGAGACCTTCCGGTTTTGATTGACGGCGCCGAGTGTTGGGGGGGCCCCCCCCCGTTTGAAACGCGCCGCCGAATTTTCCCAATGCGATCGCCCGTGAAACGCGTTCTCTCGAACATTGCCTAGCCGATAGAGGCGAACAGAAGTTCGCCATGATGCTTGCTCAAGATGTTGGAGGTCAAGGGGTCCGAGGGTTCTCCTCTGCCCGTCCTCCAGGGCTGGATCTAAACGCTGTTTTGCTGGACTCCGGCCTTTTTTTTTGTGTTTTTTTTTTCCGTTGTTGGCAGGGAGAAGCAGGAAAACAGGTAGAGCAAAACGAACAACAAACGACAACAAAGCGAATAGCAACGTTTAGGTCCAACCCTGCCGCCCTCCCATGTCCTCCTGCCATCTCCTGCTCTGGCCCCTGCTCTCTGGGGCGGCGCTGAAGCTGGACCCGCACTCTTGCTGCCAGACCAGAAAGCCGCAAGGTGAGCTGGAGGGTCCGGCCAGGCCGCGCCACGCGGGCATCTTGACCCCGAAGCCCCACGCCGCGCCGTCGATGCCTTCGTCCTCCTTCTCCTGCTCCTCCTCGTTGTCGTCCTCCTCACCGGTCCAGGCGGTGGCTTCTGAACGAGAAAGAGCGGGGGTCACAGCAGGGGTTGCTAGCAGGTCGGAGCGTTCGGCTCCTTCG